CGCAGACCCGCCCTGAGACTCCCGCGGGGCGGGGGGCCTGGAAGGGCGAGGACGCGCTGCACAGTACCTCAGAGCCGATCATGTAGAACTCGCCGTCGTCCTCCAGCTGGAACTTCACGGGCTTTTGCCCGAAGGTCTTGCTCAGCGCCATCATCATCATTGCGGCGGTGAAGGCGGGCGGCAAAGGCCGGAATGAGAGGGATCGGAAGGGCTGAGGCGTGTCCGGGGCGCGCCGAGTCGAGGGGAGCCGAAGCGGGGAGGCAAAGAGCGGGCTAGGCCAGGCGCTCGCGCCGCCGGGCTCCTCAGCTGCCGCAGCAAACGACGACCAGGCCTCCCTCGGGGCGCATGCGCCAGCGTTGACGTTGACGCGCGCGCTGCCGCCGCCCAAACAAAAGGCCAGAGCGCGTCCCCGCGATTCTCTTAAAGGAGCCTAGACCCGTTTCTCTTCCGAGCTGCTTCCCAAATTGAGGTACCAAGGAAAATTGTCATAGATGAAAATAGCAACCGAGGCCCTGACTCAGGCGGTGGCTTTCCCAGTCTCACAGCTGGGACTGGAACTCTATCCAGTGGAGGAGAAAGGAAGCGAGGCCCGAAGGCTGGGAGGATGCCTGAAGTACCTGTGCCTCAGTTTCCCCACCCAGAAAACACAGTGCAGCTGAGCACATACGAGGGCTTCTAGGAACACATCCCAGTTTCGGGCCTACAGCTATTCCTGCGGCTGTGGGAATGGGCAGAAGGATAACACTGGGCGGTGTTGGAATGGGCAAAGGCTCCCTGGCTTGGCAGGATTCCAAGGTCCAGGTGGTATTTGGTTTGGCTGGTGCATCAGATGAGTGTTGGAGGAGAGGAAACCTTCTCCATTCCTTCCTTAACTTTGCGGTTTGTTCCTGACAACAAGCTGAGCCCTATGATGAAACTAGAAATCCCTGCCCTGTGGCACTTACAGCTGGGTTTGGGGACTGATATTAATGAAAGCATCAAAGCATCCATGTATCCAGCTGAACAATGCAGTAAGTCCAAAACGGCCCATATGACAATTTCATATGGTTCAGTCTAATTAAAATTGCAGCTGGGGGGGTGCAGGGGGCTGGGTGGCAAGCAAGGACACACTCAAGATTTAGGAAGGGTTGGTTGTGGTATCCATGAGTTTTGTTCTATGTCCTGACAATGGTGGGATAGGGGCTGGGGCATCATAACATCAGATAAAGTGACCACCACTTGGTGGGGATGATCTGAGGAGCAAGGGGGAAGCAGGGAACAAATTACAAAGCCACTATAGATGTCCAGTGAGACAAGATGGAGGAAAGGAGTAAGAAGGGCCCTAAACATTACACCCAGCCCCAAAGACCATAGGCTTGGGGGTGGGGTGGAATGCCACCCTGGCTCCCAAGTCAGAACAGATCCCATACCAGCCTCCTACCTCCCTGGCCCAGCTCTTTCCCCATCCTATCCTTCCCATCACAGAGAAACCCCAGTCAGGCAGGTAGAAAATGATCATGACCGTGTTTAATGACAGTCCTCAATTTTTTTAAAAAAAGGTTTTATACACACATTTACATGGCTTTGGAGGGTCTCAGTGCTAGGATGAGGGGTCTGGGGAGGATCTGGCCCATGAGAAGATTGAGGTATGTTGGGGCCTCCAAGGCCCTGGGTCTCCAGCAGGAAGCACCCCCCTCCCCAGCTGACTCTGGACCTTCTGGCCTGGATCTTGGGGTTCACCAACTGGAAGGCAGCCAGTTCCAAGCTGACTTCTCAGGAAAGGGCAGAAGGCCAAGGGGCCCCGAGATCCATGTGCCAGCACCCTGCAGGGACCTGGCAGCAGAAAGAAAGCAAAAGCTCCAGCTCCCACAGACCTGCTGAGGTCCTTTCCTGAGGGACAGAGATAGAAAGCAAGGACAGCTCTCTGAGGTTTGAATGTGACCTGCACAGGTTGGGTAGAGCAGGTCCAATACCACCCCCACCCTTAATGCCAAAGCCTCCCTGCCCAGTCTAAGACAGTTGCTGGCAGGTGACCACGACCTGCGTGGCCCTCCCTGCAGTTGTCACGGTGGCAGGACCCCTCCCCAACCACCTGAAGAGACACAGGCTCTGTCCCATGCCTGGTGCCCACAGCCACAAAGATGGTCATGGGTCTCTAGGTGATGTGAGTGGCCTGGCAGGGGTCAGGGGCCTTGAGGGCATTCAAGCCATGGTTAGCGGAAAGTGTTGGCAGGTTCTGTACAGCCGAAGAAGTCGGGGCCCACAAGACGGGGAAAGCCCTCCAGGGCCTTCACCTTCACAGGGTCAAACTTCCAGTAGAGTCGGCCACGCAGGAAATAGGCATAACCTGAGGAGAAAGGAAGGTCAGGCCTGGGCAAGTAGACACTGGGCCTAACAACTACTATCAGGCTGTGCCAAGAGATGGACATGGGGGAGCTCCAGGTAGGCAGGCTTTGGCCACTTCTGAGTTCCTTGAAACCTTTAGGCCCTCCAGAACCTCCTTTCCCTTGGGGGAGCCCTTCAGCCTGCTCAGAGTCTGACCTGGGCTACCACCCAGCCTAACAAATGCTGGGTGCTTCAGAGGCCCAATTCCTACCTGTCAGGATAGCAAATCCTGCTCCTCGTACTGGCCCTCCCTCCACATCACTCTACTCCTGCACCCACCAGCCAGATACATATGGGTATCTTGAGTCATGTGGGTGATATGGGCAACCTGGAGCCCCAGAGCCCAAGACCACCACAGGACAGCTCTCCCAACAGGTCCTGCTGTGGGAGAGCACAGAAACAAAGTGGGGGATATGAGAGAGAGCACTGGATTGTGAGTCTTCAGTCTAGGCCTTGGCGATTGCAAGAGGCCAGATTGCTCAATGGTTAGGAGCAGAAACTGCCTGGGTGATGGTCCTAGCTGCCCAATGTCCACTTGGGCGGCCTCAGTTAGGGAACCTCACCACCTGAACCTCTGTTTGCTCTTCTGAAACTGGGTTCCTAACAGGTACAACACCTGAGCATTGCATGAGACATTTAGGGAGCTTAGGTGCCTAGAACATCATCAGTCCTCAGTGTGCAGTGGTTATTAATACCAGCCATGACCAAGGGATCTGGAAAAATCCCTGCACCTCTTTGGCTCTCAATCTTATCTGCAACACATGGGTGTAGCACTGCCCTAGCATGAGGAGGGGGCTTGCTGGGGAGGGAGCTGGACCAAGCTGGTGCCCAGCCACCATAGGGTAGGAAATGTAGCTGCTGCACCACTTCCACCAGCCACTCAATTCCCAACGCACCATCAGCATCCTGGAAGGCGGCATCAATCTTAGAGGGTACTCCTCGCCAGTCAGTGGCCCGGCGGGGTACGGGGCTGTCTACACGGCGGGTGCTGGGGTGGAAACGCCAGTAGTCTCCATCTCGGAAGAAGTAGATCTTGTTCTTCTCAGGGCCCCAGACCAAGGCTGCGTGGACTGGGGACCCCAGCAGGCCCAGCTCAGAGAGGGGTGCAGGGCCTAGAACTGGCTTCTCACCATCATACATCCAGTACTGAGCCCCTGCAGAAGAGGGAGGCTGCAATGGAGCTGGGCAACTGCCACACTCAGCCACCAGGGACCTGCCCAGCTGCCACCACTGCCACAGACTTTCCCAGCCTCAGTTACATTGTCCTGCATGGTACCCTCAGTCCAGGGGAAGTTGGAGCCAGCAGGAGTAAGCTGAAGTGGCACAGGCTTGGGGACGTACCACAGGCCAAAGGTTATTCTAAGCAGCAGAGAGGCACCTGGCATTTGACATCTGACTGCTCACCACCCCCTGGGCCTTAGCTCTGTCACAGCAGGTCCTGGCTGGGCCCTTGTTTATGAAGTCCCTGCCACCTGGAATGCTCTAGGCTCTCTTCTCTGCCAGTTGAAAGTTAAGAGCACAGGCTCTAGGGTCACCAGACCTAGATCAAATCCCTGCTTTAACTTTTCCAAGCTGTGCCCTTAGGTGAGTCATTTCAAGACCTCTGAGCTAGAAGCCAGTGCGTGGCCCACTGTGAAATACCTTCTACTCTACTCCCACCTTGAGAGTCACAGCCTCCGGGAGTCTCCCAGCTGTGCCCAGAGCAGTGAGCCTTGCTTTCCCTCGACCCTGAGGATTCAGGGCACCCTCTACCTGCCCATCATATTTGTCTATCTGTCCCTACCCTTGGCCATGGCACTCCTGGCTCTTGGAAATCTCCTGAGCATGAGCCTCCAGCCTCCACTCACCCTGGAAGAACCAGATGTGGCCCTGGGCATCCTCAAAGGCTGCGTCCACGGGGCTGGGCAGTCCCTGCCAGTGGCGAGAGGCCAGAGCAGGGTAGCCAGGCTGCAGCTGGCCCCCGCGCAGCCGCCACACAAAGCTTGCCTTGAAGAAGAAGAGCTCGCCACGGATGCTGGATACTGCGTCAAAGGAGACCTCGCAAGCATCTGGTGGGGCTTCCGGCTGGGAGGGGGGCAGGAAAGAGCCCAGATTGGAGCCATAGAGGCCAGTGGGGTTGGAGGAGCTGGGGCAGGGCCTGATCTCCTGTCTTCCCACCCGCTTGCACCTCACCTCCAGTGGTGCAATCTCGTTGGTATCCACCCCAGCCTGGGGGCCCATTGCTGGAGGCTTGGAGGTGGGGGCTGGCCGAGGCCGGCCATATAGGTGCTGGATGCCCCTGCGGTCATCTGGGCTGAGGCTCGGCGGGTAGCGGAAGGTATAGAAAGGGGACATAAGGGCCTTAGCAGCCGTCGTGTGCTGTAACCCGAGCATATGGCCAAATTCGTGGGCTGCCACCTGCAGGAGGTCTGTGCCTGGAAAAGGGAAATAGCCCGGCAATCCCCGAGCCTCCTGCAGCAAGATACCCAAGCTCCAGACCCCAGCTCTGGGACCTTGGCAAGTTCCCATTCTCTATGATCTTCAGTTGCCCAATCTGGAAAATGGATCCCCAGCCCATACCCTGGTTGTCCCCAATAGTCCAGGTCTCATCATAGTCGAAGTGGACATCCCCTTCTCGGTTGGTCTTTGGGAAGAAAGCATGGGCCAGGACGCCCCCAGGTCCATCAAATGGCAGGTCGTCCCCATGCGAGTACCTGTGGGTGGGTGGGAACAGAGTGAGCAGCTGCTGACAGCTGGAGCTGTCCCCAGAGGAGTTCCAAGCCAGCGGTTCACCTGGTGAAGTCGATCATGATATCAGCACGACCCTCATGCACTTCAGTAAAGGTGAGTGGTGTCACCTCACTCCACACCCGTAGGGCCTCTGCCACTGTCTGCCGCACCTGCTCCCGCACCAGCTGCCACGGGTACCGAAGGATCCTGGGGGGAAGGAGGGGCCTGGGCCTCACTCAGGGCAGGGTTAGCCTCTGAGTACTCGCATGGGGACGACCTGCCATTTGAGGGACCTGGGGGTGTCCTGGCCCATGCTTTCTTCCCAAACACCAACCAAGAAGGGAATGTCTGATGGGTATTGGGCCAGGATTGCCTCTGGATGCTCAGTGGGGGTGTATGCACACAGGACACAGGCCAGGTTAGCTTCAGGTGTGGTGCACTGATCCCTCTGCCACATGGGCACATTTTTGTGGATTTGTGTCCTTGGTGCACACAGGTGTCTGCATTCAGTGGGAAGAACACAGGACCAGGAGCCCCAAGACCTACCTTGTAGACCTGACTGTCCTGCTCACTGTAGGGAGACCTTGACCCTTTGACTTGCCCCCTCTCAGTTCCCAGTTCCCACCCAAGACATTTCTGAGGCCCCCAGCAGTCTCAGCTTCAATGCCATGTGATACCACAGTGGTTTTCATGTGCCTTCTCTCTCAAACCAAGTCCCCACCCGCATAATGTTTAAGTTTCAGCTTTGGGTCACCTAAGCTATTACCTGTCCCCTCACCACGGTTTCCCTCCTGCATGGATCCTGAATTATGATGCTAGATCTGAACAATGACAAGGTTAATGCCCAGCTCCCCAAGAGGAGAGGTTGTGGCTGCCTCATTCACCATAGAGGCTGCCTGTATGACTGAAAGCTGTGCTCCAGGACGTCTCCAGGGTGACAGGCATGGGCTGACAGAGGCACTGTCCCTCCGCCATGGGAGAGCATATGTGTGGAGGGGTGCTGTCTGTGTGTGCATCTAAGTTGGGGTTCAGGGGTGTCGACCCATGGATGGCTCAAGGATCAGTAGACACACAGGTCTGTTATCCATGGAGATCTAGCCCTGGCATGTCTCGAGAAGCAGGTGTGAGGGTGGCAGGTACATGCACGGACACACAGGGGTCTAGAGTCTGCTCATGGCCAAGGGCCCTACCTGTAGGTGAGGTCGGTCTTCTCCCAGCGCCCACCTGACAGCACAAACCGCTTTTGTCGGTTGCGGGCATTCAGCCCATCAGGTGGGTCAGGTACACCACAGCGGGGAGGTGTAGAGCCCCCGGCAGGAGGAGGAGGCTCCTGTGCAGCAAGAGCAGGTGCCAGGTTGCGTGGAGGGGCCTCATGCCAGGCCTGTGGCCCCCTCCTCACCAGGTGGCGGCGGTGGGTGTCCTGGGCAGGAGAGAGGATGGGGAGGCCTGGTTAGGTCTCCAGTTCTCATGGCCACTGTTAGAGGTGTGGCCTGTCAGCACACCCATACTCAGCCCCAGCCCACTGAGTCACTGGGCAAGCGGAGGGCAAGAGAAAGCGTGCTATCTGTCATACTGCAGGCCCTTTGGCATGAGCTCACTGGTTTCCTGATGACTCGTTCCAAGGCCTCCTACTGCCTGCCACTCCCACCTGGAAGGGCCCAGGGCTGCCTGTCACCTGCTCTGGCCATTTGGACTGATGAGGTCTGAGAGCGGGCACAGAGACTTTACTTTCCATACACACCCAGGAATAGACCCCACAAAGCTTCTGAGGAAAGGCCAGACAGCACCTCCTGCTTCCACCACTGCCCCACCCCACCTTCTTCCTGAATCCCCTCCCTTCCACTCCTAGCTCCCAAATCATGTACGCTACTCCAGCCCGGGACACCCACCTCAGACATTCTTCAGTGTGGAGGGGCTGCCGCTCTGCCTCAATTTGCTTACCTGACAAGTGGGAATGATTCCTCCCCATAGTGTTGATCTGAGGATGAGCCAAGGCAATGCATTTAAAGCACTTAGCCTAGCCCAGCCGGTGTGGCTCAGCGGTTGAGTGTCGACCCATGAACCTGGAGGTCACGGTTTGATTCCTGGTCATGGCACATGCCCAGATGGTGGGCTCAATCCCCAATAGGGGGCATGCAGGAGGCAGCTGATCAATGACTCTCTCATCATTCTTATCTCTCTCTCCTTCTCCCTTCCTTTCTGAAATCAATAAAACATTTTTAAAAATAAAAATAAAATACTTAGCCTGGGGCTGAGCAACCAATAAGGGCACCCAGTCTGGAAAATGGGTCTGATTTCTGAGGACAGTTTTGCTCAGACCTCTCCAGGGCCAGTGCAGGGCAGGGCTAGATGTAGTCTGCCTGCCTGCTCCATGCCTGAGTGTGTGTCTTAAGGAGAAGACAGTTACCAGCCACTCAGCCCCGCCAGAGCCCCATGGGATTCTGACCTGGAGCTGCCACCCTCCAAAAGTCCCGGGTAGAGGTCACAGTTTTAGTTCATGAAAAAAGCAGAAGCTCAGAGAGGTTGGGAGACCCTGTGAAGTCATCCAGCAAGGGCATGGCAGGGCCTGGTGAGGACTCTGATAACCCAGGCCAGAGGCAAAAGCCTGGCTGTAGACACTGTGCAAAGCTGGAGGAGAGGCATGGAGTGGTGCTGTTTGCTGAGATACTCAGTGGCTGTCTGGTCTGGGCAGCTGTGGCCTTCCCACAGCCATATTTGGGGTGGGAGCTGGGCCACCCAGGCCCCACCCTCAGCCTTGGCCTCAACCTAGCCTCTGGCAGCTCTCCCAGGCCCCAGGCTTCTAATCAGAGTCCTAGCTCCCTCACCACCACCCCCCACCAAGCTCCAGATTATGGAGCGACCAAGAACTCATACTCCACTGAACACCTGGGGCTTCTGAACCCCCAGGCGGCTATGGAGCTACTTGGTGTGTGGGGCCCTGAACCAGTTTTCCCTCGGTTTGAGCATGTTTATTGAATTGTTGGTTACCTGGCAGAGCCCAGCCTCACTGGCTTGTGTGTTCCAGCCGATACTGGGCTTACTGCTATTAAGTACTTTTCACTGTCACAGTTGACCTATATCTAGGCTAGGACCCTGCCAATAGCTCCACAGACATGCTCTTAGCCTCTGATGGGACCTCTCACCAACTCTACTTTCATCATGCTCATTTCTTAGATGAGGTAATGGAGCCCAAAGTAGTTAAGCAATTTGCCCAGATAATAGCTGGCAGATGGCAGGCTATATGGGTTCATAGCCCACCCTACCTGCTACCCCTGCTCTGTTCTTTGGGCGGGAGTCATCCTTTTGAAGGGACCCAGGCTGGCCTCACCCTGGTGATGAAGAGAAGGAATGGGGAAATATTAAGTACCTGCTACTTCCCAACCCTCTCCTGCCCCCATGAGGCACCAAGTCCACTCCCAGAGACCTGGATCATGGTACTCTCAGTGCAGCAGAAAGAGCCACAGACTGAGATTCAGAAGGTCCAGTGACCCTGGGCAAGTCACTGTCCTCTCTTAGCCTTGATTTCCCCACCTATCAAATGGTAATAGTGCCATGGCAAAGGGCTAAATGCCCTCCTTCTGTAATGCTGCTGCAGCATCTGGCACAGAGCCTCTTCCCCGGCCCTGCTCTTGGGCCCTGTGAGCCCTCCAGTCCTACACCTGGGAATCTGCTCTCACCAAATTCCCTAGATCTCCCACCACCCACCTAGCATCCAGCTCCCCCAAAGTCTCCAGACTTTAAATAGTAAAACAGGAGTTACAGTCAGAAGGGAGCTTGCAAACCCAGGGAAGAAGAGTGACTTATGCAAGGTCTCCTCTTAAGCAAAGGTCTCTTGCTCCCTGTCTGTGTCACATTCATTGGTCTTAGAGAGAGAGTGAGCAGATGGCACTAGAATGAAGGCCTTCAGCCAGTAGGATCTCTTGGGGGAAGCCCATCATTTAATAGCTCTTGGCCTCCTTTTCCCCATTACTGGAATGGGAAACATGCTCTCTGCCCCACTGACCTCCCACATTTCATCTTTCCGAGTCCTTCCTGGCCTGGCACGAAGCAGCCTGCTGATTCCTAAGATGGGTGCAGTGGTCCTCCCAAGACTGCTGGGATTCAGTGAGGCGGCTGGTGGGCACAAACCACACCTGGCCTCATCCACAGTCCTGGGAGTCAGGGAGCAGGCATTTCCCAGAGGCCATAGAGGTCAAGGACTTTACCCAGGGTCACACTGCAAGTGGGGCAAGAGCTGGTCCTAGACCCAGGGCTCATGTTTCCCCACCCAGAGCTCTCCTTGCACCCCCTTAGCTCTTGGCCTACCTCCAAAACCCACATTGCTGAGCAGTGTTTCTTCTGATGTACTCCCTCCTCCTGGGCTAGTATCCTCCTTTGGCCAGCCCTGTGTGCTGGGTGTCCAGCTCCCTCACCCCGTGCTCCTCTGGCAGGCACTAAACCACAGCCTCAAACATCCTCGAGGAATTTCTTGGCTGACTCAATCTCTTGGCTGAGCTAGGAGCTCAAGGTCAGCCCCGGGACAACTTCCAATCAAGAAAATGGGAGGCATCCGGTAGAGGAGAGATAGAGGAGGGCCCCAGACTAGGAGACTGTTGGGTAAAGCCAGACTAGCTGTGCCCCTCTCTGGGCCTCAGTTTGCCATTAGTCAAGTAGGGATAATTAATCATAGTTATGCTTTCGGCCGTTGGCAGGAGATAACCGACAGGAGGCTGTGAGGAAGACAGGGGGGCATTATGATGCCATTCTATTTAGCATCAAACCCCTCTGAGGCTCAGAGAGGCCAAGCAACCTGGCCAAGTCACACAGCCAGTCCAACAGGTAGGTCCATCTTCTACCAGACACTGTGGCCTAATCTTCCCCTTCCCACCCCTCCCCAGCTGATCCCAGGGGCTGCAGGGCTTTCATCAACCCTGAAAGCTGCTGAACTGAGATGGATAAATATTTACAGAGCTTTCCTGGCCCTGCCAACAGCAGCCTGGGGATAAACACATCAGGAGCGACCCCAAATGCTCTCTGCATATCTGCAGAGTGACAGACAACAGCCCAGCTCAGATCAGGCCCCAACTGACCCTGCATAAGCATCAAAGTGGCAGCTACAGGTGACGGAATGTCTCCAGTGTGCTGGCTTTACCGCTCCTCAAATTACCTCATTTAATCCTCAATGCCCAGCGGTGGGCACTGTTACCTCCCACCCACTCCTGACAAGACTGGGAGGGTGAGGTTCTGAGGCACAAGAAGGCTCACCTAGGTTCAAACCCAGATCTCTCCAATTCCCGAACCTGTGGGCTCAACTGCTACCCACAGTGATATCCAACTGCCCCCCAAATCTAGGGGACTGGGAGGGGCTGGGGAAGAGGCAAGGCTTCCAGACTGAGGTACCTCACACTCACCTTACCCCACCCATCCTATCTCCTCCTGCTCCCACAGCCAGTGAGGGCAACGCTGGCCAGGGCAGAGCTGGGGTGGCTGGACAGAGGGGCCCAACCTGGTCAGACCTCCCTCCTCACCAGACTAGTCCCACATCCTGCCTATCACACCTCCTAATGTTTCCATACCTGCCTGAGCTGTCTCGATGCCTTAGCTGCCAATAGGGGCGGGATGGGCTCCCAGGAGCCCAGGGGCCTGCAGTTGCCCTGGCTCTGACTCCAGGCTCTGCCTGGTCACTCCTGGTAGTGGTCCTCCGAAGCCCTAGCTCGAGGGGAGCATGCAGCTTTCTGGGCACATGCAGGCTGTCACAACCCCCCATGACCGACCCTCTTCTTCTCATTCTGCTGCTCTCTCACATGGACTCTTCAGATCACATTCTTCCCCCTTCCCTTGCTCTCCCACCCCCTTGCTCTCTGAGGTTCTCAATTCTCCACCCTTGGCCCCCCTTCTTTCTCACTTTCTCAGTCTCTCTGTCTCTCTCTCTCTCTCACACACACACACACACAGAACCTCTCACGCTCATGCTGTCCCAGCTCCAAGCCTCCCAAACTTGCCACTTGCAGGTGCCTAGGCGGTGGCACCTCCTCCAGGCTCCGACTCCATTTCCCCCAGCACAGCCGCTGCCCTCCCCAGCTCTTCTTTAGTCCTCCAGCCCACTGCACAACTGGAGGTGTGCCCACTAAGGCCACACACCTGGAGGCTGACAGCAGCCTGAGACCTGCTCTGCTTTGTCCCTGATGGAGGGCCCTGTAACCACTCCCTCTGCTACCTCCCTCGGCACACCCCAGCGTCTGCGCTGGGGCACGGAGGAGCGGGTTCCCACGCTGGGAGGGGGCGTGTGTCTAGCGCCGAGTCCCGCCTCACCAGCCTGGGCGATCCTCGTGCAGGCTCCACTTGCACACCTCCAGGGACAGGAAGCTCACTATCTATCACGCCCACAGGGACCCAGAAGGCGTTTTGGGTAACGGGAGGCTCCAGGGTACCCCGAGCGCCCCCGTGGGTCCAGCTCCGTCTTTGGGCCCAGCCGGCGTGCCCGGCGCGCCCTGAGCGAGGAGCGGCTGGCC